CGTTAACAAATGAATAGGAGTGAAAGCGGGATGAAACGATAAACGCAAGACAAGAAAAGTGCCGGTAAATTTAAAATACATTCCGTAAACAGCTCTGATGCAACTGAAGTAAGTCAGACGTCAATAGCCGGCAGCTTCGGTCTACAAGTATATCCCAGGTGGCTTTGAGGACACAAGCTTGACCTCCCTTCACTCATTACGCCTAACTAACCCTACGAACGCAGACAGATGTGGTGGGAACGGATTTAAAAGGACTTACTCGAGCATACAAGTGCGAACATCGACAGCAGGGCAAGAGTCCCCCCAACGCGAACTTCGATTTCTCAACTGGAAGTCTAGAACGGCGTGACTTTCTCCCAGATCGTGTGATAGCGAGCTACTGTGACTGATTAGAATAAAAGTAAGTAAAAATAGACTGGACAACATTTATGCTCGGTTCATTTTATGACGAAGTTACTCACGTCGAGGCCGTACAGCCCAGCTTTTTGCCGTATCTCGCCTCATCTTGGGCTGCAGCAACTAGGCACGGCCTTCCATAGCTGTCGACTGGCGTCTGTCTGGAGCCGAATCCCTGCAGTCGGTACTGAAAGGTGCCATAGTTGGTTGTATCCTCGATGTAGTGTGTAACATAGCCTCCACGACTGGCATACTCCTTCCAAATCCACGGAAATTCATCCAGCACCGTCTTGCCCGCCTTCTCACCCCTATGCCCCTCCTTACTCAGCGAGGCATCCAGGAGCCCCACCTGGCCCGGCATCATTTCGGCCACAAACCGTCTGGCCTCAGGCAACTCCTGTTCAAAGAAGCCCGTCAACAGAGCCAGCAGATTTGCAGTAGTGCCATCTCCGACGACATTAAAAAGGTTGAAGATGCCTCCCCTGTGCTGGATCAGTCGTTGCAGCAGGTCCATTGTTCGAGGTAGATATCGCAGCCATGAGAGACGTGAGAGGGAGTCGATGCCCAGCAGAAGAACATTAACTAACTCCCCCTGCCTCTCCGGTCTAACGGCAGAAGCAGCTGAACTGCCGCAAAGGTAGAACCGCTTCTGGCTGAGAAGACTGTCTGTGCGCCAGTCAAAAAGTTTCCCAGGAAAAAAATTCGACTCGGACTGACAGAGGAGCATGTTGTGTGGATGTTTTGGTCTGTGTCCATCGTGAACCTGTTCCTCGACCTCTCCGTAGATAGATCGGAAGTCATCCAGTCGAATGATGGGAAAGAGGTCACAACGGATGGACGATGAGTTGTCCGCCTGCTGTAAACGCAAAACGCCGCCATCTAGCCAGGCATCCACGGAGAGGAGGGATGGTGGGGGTGGTGCTGGTGGGTGATCTGCGGCCCGTTCCACGACAAACCGGAGACCATTGAGGCTGCAATTTAGTGGTGAAGGCTCGTCTTCCTGCTTCGGTTGTTGCAAGTCGCTAGGCCAGATTTCCAACGGCGGCAGTCTGCACTGGCCTTTTAGGAAGGTGTGATTTTCTTCGTCTTCCTTCTGTTGGTAGACGGGGAGGTCGTTGTCCCTTTGACTATCAAAAAGTACCTTCAACGAAGTCTGGAGTAGGGCACTAAACAGGCATAGTGACAGCAGCGTCAGTAGAGCACGCCTGGGCGTAACTCGACAGGGCAAAACTCGCATCGGCCGCCACTGGCCGACCGCAGCGCAATGGGCGGTCGACTACGTCAACGTCGGGAAAATCGCAAAAAACACGTTAGCCAATGAGCGTACAACGAAGTAGGCAATCCGCCAACTGCTACAGTGCGCGGTTCTGACTGGTTGTTGACTAGCATCGTCACGGGACATTACGACGCACGGTTCCACCGAGTCGTTCTGTCGCGTGTGATGTAGGTCATCCCAGGATGGTTTTCATTGCAACTGCCTAGGGTGGTTTGCATATGAATAAAACTACAAATTGGAACAGTTGCGCAACCTAATCCTAGCTCTCATCTGTTCGTCCCAGCCGTAAAAATGAGGCAATACAAGTGGGACTGAGCTTGGAAGCAATCTCAGATCAGAAACATGTCGGAAAAGGCGCTTCCCACCCGTCCTAGCCACCTAAATGGACTCCACACACCCCAATGACCATATTCCTGGGAGGCAAAAAGGACAAAAAGACACAACAAAAACAGTGGATCCAGGTTAATCGGACCATCTCAAACAGATCTCATTCGTGATCGACCGGTTCCTGTGTGAGGAGCAGAAATTTGTTGAATTATTTCGTCCTCAAAGTCCTTATGTTCATCATGACAGAGAATGCTGTTATATTTACGCCAGAGCTTGACCTATAGCCTTTTGTTGATTCAGTAGTGCAAGTTTGCTGGCTGGTGTGATGTATTTATTGCATGCGAGCGGGTGGTCGGGACACACAAGCAGACCAACCAGCGAGAAAAAATTTATCGATTTATCGACCGACCGATTTGCTTGGTCCGAAGACGTGTTCTAGCCTATAGTGACACGGCGGGACAATTGGCGCGGAGGAATGTCAAAGGCTGGAGGGTGGCCAAACTGCATCTAGGTCAGGACACGCGCCCTTGGCCTTGACTGTTCGCTAGCCACACACGTGGCGTGACGTCAGACTCATTACGAACAGCGTACAGGGGCAGGCTTAAGCTCAAGCAGTTGATCCCACAGTATACAACCACACTAATTCACAGGGTCAACTCCCTGTTACTCATATTATGCTGACATAGAAAGTCAGACTAAGAGGCATTAACGGCTCCAGTCCCCTTCCATGCAAGTCCATGCAGTTTGGAGTAGGGAACTGCTATGTCAAGCGAATAAAATCCTTGTTCCAGCAGTCCCGTCTCGCTATTTTCATTCATTCTGGTTTTTTTCTTGGCCTTTCACGAGAACATCAAACCCTTCGTGAATCCCCAAACCGAGCGACGTGTTATATGTTTAGGGTAAGCCAGACTATAGTTTATGACTAGCGAAAGAGACACCGTTCACAAATAGACTAGAGCCTGTGGTTCGAATTCAAGATCAGTAAGTTAGTGGCCGGTAGGAGTCGGACTGGTTATGAATAGCGGCTGACGTCAAAAACGGCCATCCCAGGAAAAGTAGCTTCTCGTTCCGATGCAAATGCCCATTAAAAGCCCTTCAATTAACCGGGCAAAGGCTGTCTTGCCGATGCCTGCCACTTCAAATTGCGCGCATGAATTCACATGCACTTGCGAATGCAAGTGCATTGAGCGAACGCAAAGGTAATTGGCAATCAGGGCCGCTGAGCACTTGCCTAATTGGCTTTTCAAACAAGAAAACAAAACGGCTCGTTCATCTTTAACGAAACACTTGTTAGATAACGATAATGCTGTCGACCTTAAAACAACTTTTCTAGTACTTGTCGGAGTGTGTACAACTCGAACTTTGCGCTGCTTGGAAGCAGTTTACATACAGCGGAGAAACCAGACCCATGAAAGCATTTAGACCACGTGGTAAATCTGCACCCGTCCTGGCAACCTTCAGGCCTCGATCTACTCGCGACTGTGATTTGTGTTAACATTCCGTCCCCCTAATTTCCTATATGATGTTAATGGAAACGTCTTTCATCAGATTATTCATTGCATTAAACCCTGACCTTGATCTTATGCATTGACACTTTGTACAAATCCATATTGCTGCGCGCTTCCATTGGTTATGCAGAGACTGGCTGCAGTTGAAAAGCCGTCACGAAATTTATTGGCACCAATATATCCTGCTGTACATGACTGTTTTCAAGGAGGAGTCCTCTAATTTCATTGTACAATCTGGGCAAATCACCAGAGGACACGCTGGCCAATGAGCGTGCAGAAAAGAAGGCAATTAGCCAATGGCCACAGCGCACGGTCCTGACTGGGCGTTGACTTGCATCGTCGCCGCGCAAGCTCCAGTCCGGGATTCAGTGGTAAAACCCAGAGCCTTAAGGAAGCATAGCATCGCACCGCAGGTCTTTTAACCTGAGATTGGGGTTTGGCTGTTTGAGAGTTAGATATTTCTTAAATTACTCGGCAAAATATCGGTCGATTTTTTTCGTAGCTAGCTAGCACGCCGATCTGGCAGCTCGAAACGGCAGACATCGGCTAGATTCAAAGTTACTGACAGAGAAGACTACTCCGCCGACCTGTCCTGAGTTCCTCCTTACCCTCAATCTATCTTTCACGTACCGAGTGTCACTGGTCCCCTCCTCAATAGCATGCGGCACAAAAACCAAATAAGTGCGTACACTATGTTTACCTCTAGTTTTTTTTCAATTTGGCCTCGAATGGCAGCCATTCAATGGTTATCTTATGGCATTCTGTTCAGGGAAAGCAGACACCATTCAGAGCAGGGACAAATGAAGAAATTGACGTAAACAGACGAAAAAGCAATTACTACAAGTACTCTACTAAACATTTCCAAGCAACCAATATGAAATCAGTCAAAGGAAACAGGAATCCACCCACAACGATGTCAGCGAAAATCCTTTCTGATGAAAACTTCGTTAATCCAGAACTTGAGGTTCAGACATCGCTCCTGCTAGCACGCTCAAATCCCGTCGAATCAGAATTAAATCCAGGCATTGGAGGCGCGTCGGGAGTGACCTTGAAGCCGGGCATGTAATCTGGCATCTTGGCATAGAGGTCTCGGCTTTTCCGCTCCTCAGCCTGCATGAACAGTCTCCACCACCGCACCAGAATCTCACCCGTCACAACGTCCCCAGCATTCACGCGCAGCATCCGAATTATGAAGTTACCGTCGCATCGAACTACCTCTCTGAGGAACTTGTTCACCAGATCATCCGGCAGATCCACCACCTCCTCCTCCTCCCCTTCACCTCTCCCATCGACCCGCAGTTCACTGCCAGACAACTGAATGGGGGCGAGCAACGATACCGCCAGGAATTCACGCAGGAAGTTGCGACTGTAGCGTTGTAGAGCCAGACGACTAAGCCAGGTGAGCAGGCTGAGAACAGAAACGAGGAGGACCAGGGAGATCCACAACCACAGAAATATATAGATCTTCTCGTTGAACATGTTCACGGGCAGGGCACAGACGGCAGTGTAGACCTGATTACGAACACCCAGGTGCGGCACCCTCACAGGACAGAGGGTTTGTCGAGGGAAGAACTCACTGCCACCCCACTCCCGCTTCGATTTGAGGATGTTGAAGAGGTCCTGGGCAAACGTCGCCATGTTCATATCCCGATGTCCCAGGAATTTCATGATCATGAAGAGCTGACCGAGTGCATTGGCGATGTAGAGCAGCTTCACTAGGAGGTAGAGGAAGGCGATGCGATTGCCCATCCGCTTGCCCACAATGAAGAGACGTCCACCGGGAATGCGGGAGAGGTGGTGTTGGAGGGCGGACCAGGTGTTGTTGCGGTTGTCGGCATGCTGACGAGACAGCTGAGAGAGGTGGTCTGCACAGGCGTTGACGAGTTTCTGGCGGGCGTCGCGATCATCCACCTGGTTGGCCTTTTTGGCTCTGGTCAGGAGGCATTCCAGGTTGTCGCCGAGGCTGTTGATGGCGAGAGCCTGCCAGATGAGGTGGGGTAGGTAGAAGAGCATGGCTTGGATGGAGAGGCAGAAGGGCACCCATTGGTAGAAGGCTGAAAGGAGAGCGAGTGTGGAACATGAAGTTGACGAGGTGGAGGGGAGGGGGAGGAGGAGGAGGAGGAAGAAGAAGAAGAAGAGGGGAGAGGGTTGGGGGAGGAGTATGTGACGATTTCCTTTCCACAGTGTTAGTCACAGCATCCAGTTTTAACCTTAAATCTGGCGACATTGAGCCTTTAGGCATCACCCACCCGCAATGCGTGAATGGCCATGTCCAACGGGATTCCGATCTGGGAACGCGTTGCTTCAGGTGAAACAGTTGACGTTCCTCCCAGCTCCTTTATTACAGGAACTGCTGTCCACCATGATTAGGACGTGGTTACCTATGCTAGGGGATGTCTTGACGTCAAATACAACATTAACCGAAGCCTGTAGCCGAGAATGACAGTTCTCTAGAAGGCAGATTTCAGTCACTCAGTGCGTAACAAACGCTCTGATGCCCTGTAGACATCTTATAAAATTCGATATCATACATGGTGCTGCCTATCTCGCATCACAGTGTCGGCTAAGACGACTCTTTACTCCGCCTACGGCCGTAGACGAACCCATGACAAACTAAATGTTTCCTTTTGAACGCTGTGAGTTCTCTTGTACTTTAAAACGCATCCGGTAGACTCATCGACTACCTGAGGATGCTGCTGACAATTTATTCCATTTCCAAACACTTATAGACGTTCGCCAATTTGCTGCGAATACCCACAGTGATGTACTAAATGCCGCCAGCTCCAGCCTAAATCGATGACGGGAAGCCCTCAGGCGGCTGTCTGCATACTGTCGAGACGCCAACCGCCAGGAACTCACTATTCCACAGTTAGGCTCCCCTCCGAAAGTCATGTTCAGAAGACCAAACGGTAACGGTAGGTTGTAGGACCCCACGTCGCTGCCAATTTCAACACGTACACCGTGATTCGGTGTGACCGTAAACGTCACTTACTACTCACCGCTCCCATTGGCTGGAGTTTCCTTGCCAACAAAACAGTCGCCTTAACTTTATCCGCTCTGCTTGTAGGATTGCGTCGTGGAGTTCTGCTTGTCAGCAGCCATCTGCGCCACATTGCCTCACCTCTGTCGCCATTTCTGTGCACGAAAATGCAGTGCGACTCACGATGCCTATGGCCGATGCGGGGGTTTAGCGAGTCATGATTATAAAGAACAGCGAGACGAAATTAGCCGAGATAATCTGTTCCGTCAGTTAAACCCCTGATGTCACTGACCAAGGCAACAAGTGAAGAAGAATCACCTAAGGAAACCAAAACGCACACCAGGTTAGAAATGTGACGTGTAACGACTAAGACACATCAACTTATACAAAAATGAAGAAGGACAAGTTTAGAAAATACCCAGCAAATATAATGACTGCAAAAATCTGTGTAAAAATTAAAAGCATGGCAAAACGGTAACCGTGAGAAATGTTTTGAGAAATAAGGCAGTCCCAACGGAAAAGGTTTATTGGAATTATGATGTTTCGGAGAGCTGGGTCGGTTTGTGGCAGTCAGCGCCTCCTTGCTCTCCATCGCTTTGTCACGGTGGCCTCCTGTCCGCCTCACAATCTCTGTCGAGTCGCTGCTGGGACGCGCGAGGCTTGTCACTAGTCTTGCGAGCGCTCGAGGCCAATCAACGCAGCCCCTTCTCTGATTGGTTGGCGACACTGGAGTAGAGCGAAGGGCACACGCACGCGCTGGGGTCTAAGCGCCTCAACGGCTGCCACAACTTACCAAGAGGACCCACTCTCCGCGATTGCTTGCAGAGCCTTTTTGTACTCACTTCCCCAGCAGCAAAGATTGTCTAACCCGGTCCGTCTTCCCTGACTTCTGATTTTGGAATCTTTGTCTTGTCGACCATACCATCACGACTGGCTCACCACTGTTAAAGCGTAAAATGCACTTAACCGAACAGAAACAGTAATGGCACGCCGCGCTGCTCGACCTCATGCTGATCGATTTTTCTCTTCTCTCTCGCTGTCTCGGCCTTTGCGAGAAATGTTTATCGGGCTTTTTGGCTGTGTGCGTTATGAGTCACCACCTCTTCGGGAGATGTGGTCAAACCTCTGTCGAGGTTGGTCGGACTGGCAGCTCTTTCTCGTCCAGTGAGCTCGTCGTCAGACTGTGTCTGCGCGGCCTTCTTGTCCGGAGCTTTATGAACGCGATGACGCAGGGCTTTGTAAACTGCAGGAAGAACCAGATGCCTATTGATGAAGTTGGCATCTGAGTACTACTACGCCTCAAGTTTTAGCCGTTCTGCCTGTGAATTGCCTTGACCTAAAATGATAACTCCCTGAGGATTGAAAGTATGGCCAGTTTCTCCAACGTGTGTTGCAAGTTGAGAGTTCTGGTATAGCCTCCGAATTGCTGATTTTCGACAGGTTCCGCCCCGTTCCCAACGTAGCTGCAGTCCCCATCATTACAACTCATTTTTAGACAGGACTGCCCCGACTTCGATGCCGTCTGATGTGGACTTAAAATCAGGCTAGCGACTAATGACAAACACTTGTCTTTTTTATTTCTCTCCACACTTACATATATCTGATCGCTCTCTCAACTCATCCCAGTCTGCAGGTTCATTTGGGATGGTGTCGTCAACGTTGAGTCCAATCGTGCCCTGCAACCAGCACACAGATTCGGCAAAAACCGTAAAGTGGCCATCAGGGGAAGTGGGCAGGGTGCAGGAGATGGGCCGCAGAAAGTACACGTTTGTCGTGGTAACGCCAGCCAACAAAAGGATGATCAGAGAGGACACGAAGTGACTAAGGCGATCGGAGAAGTCTTCTAGGCTTGAATAGGGGTCATCGGAATAACCACGATAGCGGATGAATCCATCTAGAAGATCTGTGCCCAAATCGAAGGATCCCATTGTTGATGCGCCGTTCTACGTCCGTCTACTAGCTTATCTGGGCAGAGGAGTTGAAAAAAAAGAAGATTTAGACATACACCGGCCAGCTTATTAGTCGCCATCTGTTTCATGTGCAAGTTAAGATGACTGAGACCAAATGTGCAGATATACTACTGACAAAGACAGGGATGACTGAAACGTCTATTTCAAGCTGCATTCATCCTTTGGTCTTAAATAAGTTTGTAGTTAGGGGGCCCTATAAGATCCTGTGTTTTAATCTTCTGGATTCCATGCATCTGCTACGCTGTGATTCAGCAAACCATAGCCCTTGGAGCCTGGTGTGCGCTGGCAGCCCTCTGGAACCTGATTCTCTGTCGGTAGATGCGCTTGCGATCCCGCTGGGTATACACGTCGTGCGCATGGTTTCCAGTCATCCTCCGCTTTCTGGCTCTTTTATTTTGTTGTCAAATGTTTGTTTTTGTAGGCCAGGGGTGTCGTGGTACGTCTAGGTGCAGGTCCGCCATGTCAGCCACCTGCACCCTCCCCCGCCCCCGATCTTTTTGACTCTGTCTTGACACCGGGTCCCGGTGGGGAGTGTGAAAGAGAGGGCGCGGTAGATGCTGCGCAAGTCCACTCTCACTATAAACTAATTCACGCGCAAGTCACCGTGCCTGTTTCACCTTGCTGTGGAGCATACGGTGGACATCACCTGATGCGATGATAGGACCGTCGTTAGGCTGTTTATGAAGTATACAGCATTGTCCCAATCATTTCAAAAGTTTAAGAGTCGTGTATTATATCTTCTAAGTGGCACAGAAGTAAATGTGATTTCCTCTACCTCGAAAGTATGCAGCTTCTAGAATGTAAACCCCAAACACAAATGCGACCGCATATCAGGCTCGAAAGTTTGTGAGAATTGAAAGAACTATTCTGAAACCCAAAGTTAATCTTTCTTTAATAATCATATTTGAAGAAGATGTGCTTTGCTGCATGCAAGAACATTTTTGCGTATGTTTACCACTAGAATTGATAGGAGGATCTAAAGTCCACGGAAGAAAATCACACCACTTTAGTAGTCATCGTATGCGGACGCGTCTGAGAAGCAGTGCATTCCAAATTCGACATCCAGGCATCAATAAAATATTTTGGGATAAAGCTTCACGATGATCAATCATACAAGCGCAATTAGTCAACGCCTCATAACTGAAGACGTACTTCATGACTTCGACTCAAAATTTCAGTTCGGACACTGGAGGCAAGTAACCACCACCACCACCACCACCACCACCACCACCACCACCACCACCATCACCATCACCATCACCGACATTTAGATCATCCCGAACGGTGCTCCACGGGACTTGCGTGTAAATTAGTTTTTAATGAGGTAAACTTGTGTAGTGCACTTTCATCTCCCTTACTCTCCTCGGCAGGGCCGGAAGCGGGCTTGGGCGCAGTAACTGCCAAAGCTAAACAAGGCTAAAGCTACGCGGGTCACACAGACGACCTGGCCCACCTTCCTTGTGTACCATTATTTCTGGGAGAGTGGTTCGGATCTCACGGGCGCGCGAGAGTGCCATAGAGCCCAACCCTCCGACCAGTTATCCCGCCAGTTTCTAACCTCCCAGGCCAGGACTTTTAGTGTGTCGTGGTAGATTTAGGTGCATCAGATTTATGCCGAATGCGTTAGTTGCCGTGCAGATGTACTCCCCAGAGTCGACCTCACTCTTTGTTCCCTCTCCCAGCCCATTGTTTGAACTTGCTAAGGGTGGGCGCAGTGGCTGGCAGCAGTAGTCTCGAGAACTCCCGAGGACTGCGCCGCCCGATTAACGCGTGTCGGGAGCCAAGTGGGCTCCTCCTTCTAAGTGGAGGGTCTATCCCGTGAGCCTTTGTGGGGCAAGCACCACCACCACCACCACCACCAATAGCCATGTCGGTCATTTATCGATAGAATTCAGTCTCAGATCAAGAAAAAAGGACTTAACGTTGTCATTACTGGCGACAACCTGAGTTGTACAGTTAAGTAACGAGAGCAATGTTGGAGCTATCCAAATACAACTTTTTTGTCGAATAGGCGTGTGTACCATCTTTTCTTGCTTAGGGAAATGCGGATTACTGCAGCTTATTTGCTGCTCAGGCGATCATGTCTATTTGACTCGCTATTCAAGCTTCCTCCTCAAGGCGGGGAAATGACACCTAATAAATGTGCCTTTTCATATCATCCAGTCAGGGGCAAATACGGGGTCAAGTCGTTTTTCTCGTCAAACTTTGACTTTGTGTTGTAGTCTGTTCGTCAGGATCAACTAAATAATCCACATCTAAGTTAGCCCTTTCGAAAGACTTGGATTATTAAAAGCCGGCTCCCGTATGTGGGGCCTTGTGGAAGCCAATGATGAGTCTGATTTAATTCCTTCAGGCTACTTTCAGCACCCGAGTTAGACTTTGATTATGGAAAAACTTTCTTCCTAGCACTTTGGTACACAAGGTGCGAACTGGTGCCTTAAGTCACATCAAAATGCTCTCTAGTGATCGCGGCATCAAACAAACTAACATAATGCACAAAAGGAGACAACCTACATGGGGTTGGAATGACTTGCAATGACGGACGAATGGTAGCCGCCAGTGATATCCACTCGCATCATCCAATAGGCGTGAGTGGTCCTACCTTCGGACGCTGATCATTATTAGATATATGATCACGCATCAGTCCGCTGCTATCCATCATATTCTGATCTGACGTCTATTCAGCCGGCTAGGTCGAGCGGGTGGGCGGACTTCTTAAGAGACGTGTGACTGACTTCACTCAGTGGTTTCCAGATGCGGCGGCTCTCTGGTTTCAAAAAAGCCAGTCTGTCTGTCTCGTGTGGCCTGGATAGAGAGCCAAATATTCACCTGACTCTGTTTGTGGTTATGATTTCGAGTGAGAATCCGAAACGTCAGGCTAATAAAGCCCTTGTTTCTGCAATCGTGTCTCTTGCTTAGTGATGGCGAGGTCATTGCACCTGCTCACTGGACATAGAAACTGAAGCAGACAGTCAAGGAAGCCCAAGCCTCTTAGCCGCTAGATGACTTTATTTCAAGATGACCGGAGAATTTTGTAAAACTGTGATTATACACGAACCGGCGGCAATCACTCAATGCCCTGTACTCACAGTCAACATGCAGGATCGGCAGGAGAGTCTCTCAAGGCTAAGGGAGAAAACTGGATCGCTCCCGTAAAAGTTATCTTCAGGGTACTCTAAGGATCCTGTGTTTGGAAGGGACTCCAGCGGTCCTGAAGCAAGCACAACTCCTGCGGAGCGGATGGCCTTTAAGTCTTTGGCGAAAGCTGGCTTCCCTGGCAGCATTTTCAGCGATAAGGACAACAGCGATACAGAAACACCTCGACAGCCTCATCAAGAGCCTCGGAACCATCATAGTATCCCATGAGAACTATTCGCATGCGCTGCGAGCGTGACAACGCTCCGCTATGAGAAGCAAAACGAGATTTTTAGGAAAGCAACGGAGTACATGAACACAAGGAGTAGTGGTATTCCCACAAGACTTTACGGGTGACCGCAAAATAAGCCAGAAATTCGATTCCAGTCGAAGTTGAGGATTTTCATGTTTAAGCATTTCCTCCTGTTTTACACACTAATTTCTGAGGAAATTGGAAGGTTTGCCATCGCCAAGTTGGAGTTGAAATGCCTTTATACCAACACCACATCCTAAAAGCTGAGATTTGGAAGGTCATCAGCTGACTGGACAGGCTGAGAGTCAGACAGGAATAAATAATGGTCGAACTTGAAAATATGAATTCCCCTATTCTAGGTGGATAAATTCCAGGGCGTTGCCTACTCCACAGTCTTGACTTTAACCCTAACTCTGTTTCCCATAACCCTGTTACTAACACTGAACTCATAACGGAGGCCCGTATTCCAGAGTTCCATCTGAGTAATCAGTGCGATCTTTTGACAACTCCCACAATGTGATAACCGAGCTAACGAAGTCTTGTCAATGAACATTCAGGGACTTGGGGCACTAGATATAAATGGTGTGCTTTCCACATAAGTTACTCATACCTACATAAATGCAGTTCTATTTCCTACACAGAACGCGATCGAGTCTTATTTCGTACGCACACATGGTATACATCTTTCTGAAACTTAATATTCTGGGGAAAAAAGCAAAACTAGAGACGATGCTTCAACTATCGCATATTTACATGGCTATGAGATGTTTGCATGAATTCGCCCACGCTTCCTAGGAATGTTCCAAATACACATCGTTTTATGCGCTCAGTTCACAGAAAACTTAATTTCCTCTAGAGCTGGTGCCTGAATAGCACAGCGTTTTAAACGCCATCGGAATTCCCATTTGCTGTAAGGGCTTTCAACCTGCATACAAACCAAGTTCTTTGCAACCAGTTAGTATTGAAAGATAGACATCCCAAAAAGTTTAAGTTAAAAGTTATCAGTTCTTTAGGAAAGCTGACAAATTTTATCCCGGAATAATTTTCATACTGGTTCCCCGGATCGTCTTCAGACGTGTGGAAAGTGTGCAAAAAAGTCAAAATTTTAAGCGGTTGAAAGGTCAACCGGCAAATATATGTTTTCGGTAATTCGCTATCAGGTCACCACAATTACACGGAGAGTGAACCTATGAGATATGAGCAGGGTTTGTGTCTCGGGGGTAAGGGTTAGTCACACTCGTCTTTGCCACGCGGCCTGCATGACCGAATCAGCGTGCTGAGGACGTTGGAG